CATGTCAGTTTTTTGACGCCTGATTCAGAGAGGCAGTCACTTGCAGAATGATTTATTGATCATGTTTTGATTGATTGGCTCATTGCTGGTAAAAAGACTAAGTTTGATACAATACGTGATGCTATGTAAGGACTTGGTATAATGATGAAAACAAATCACAAATCCCCAACAATTCATCATTTCTAAAATATACTTTAATTACCTTTTAAATATTTTTACCAAGTGCTTTGACATCAACATGCACCTCAAGTTGCTTTACTTTCACTTGGTAACTTTGTTTTTATTTGCTATGTCTTATATTAAACACATGAAAACAAAAACTTACTTACTTTCATCATTTCACAGAATCGAGATGATGATTTGAACATGAATGTTATAGAGGCATGGGATTTAGGTTATACCGGTAAAAATATTGTGGTGAGCATATTAGACGATGGACTGGAGACAGATCATCCTGATCTAGTTGATAACTATGTAAGTATGACACGACCACTGTGATTGGAGGAAAGCAACCATGTGATGTAGTGACCTTTGACTCAGTAGATTATTACCAAAACATGTTTGTCATAATGTAGTTTTGTAAATTGTTTGTGTCAAAAGGTATCTGTTGTATTTTTCCCATTCATGTTCGATTGTCTTGTCATTTATTATGAAACGTGCAAAATTTGTTAAGAAGGTAAAGAAATATTTAGATAAATAAAATATTGTTGCATGACAACATCAATTAATATGTGGGTATAAAATTACCATTTGGAATTTGAAAATTAATAATATAAATTCTGAAATTCATTAAGGTACAGTCAAACCTGTGTATAGCGACCACCCTCAGGACGTTAAAATGGTTTTTATACGAAGGTTATATTATTTTTAATGGATCGCCAATTCAGACATATATTTATCCAGAGAATAATCAAATGGTACTGGTACACATTACCGTAGTTTGAGTGGATCAAAATCAAATAAGTTTGACTTATTAAAATTGTTTTATAACTAGAATGCTGATTATTATTTTGGTCACTATAGGCACTATAATCTTATATGCAGGTTGCTCATACGTTATGCCTTAGGACTGCATAAAAGTGGTCACTATAGGCAGGAGGTCTTTATATAGCTGTGGTCACTTACAAGTTTGACTGTAGATTTAAAAATAAATAGTGTTTGGCATGAAATCTATATGTACGTTTTCATATTTTAGGATAGAGAAGCAAGTACGGATATCAACGATAATGATTCTGATCCTAAGCCAAGATTCACATATTCCAATGAAAATAAGTAAGTCTAAGATGTAACATAATCCATCCATTACAAATAAGGGTCTGAACTCTCAGAAGAAATATTAAATTTGAGTGGTTGAATAATTAGAGTGAATTTTAGTCAGTGGTAATGTGATTTTAGAATTAAAGGTGTCAATTTTAAATAACAAATGTAAACAAAACAGGGAAAGACTTAAATGTATAAAATGAGATCTTCTCTACAGTCTATCGTGTAATTAATTTCATTTTTTAGCTCCGCTGTCGACTTTGTCGAGCGGAGCTTATCATATGAGTGATTGTTCGTTGTCGTCCGTGTCAATGTTTTACTTTTTCGACTTCTTCTTGAAAACTACAAGCCTGAATGCTTTGATACTTGGTGTATTTGTACCTTGGGTAACCCTCTCTCAGATTTGTTCATTTCATGATCATATCTTCAATTCTCTAATTTTGGTGAATAGTTTTGTCATTTTTGGTAAAAAGTGATATTTTCGACTTCTTGTTAATAACCGCAGGTCCAATTGCTTTGATATTACATATATAAGTACTACATGTAGACCTCTCTCAGATTTGTTCATTTTGTAATGATATCTTTAATTCTCTAATTTTGGTGAATATTTTTGTCATTTTTGGTAAAAAGTGAT